GGCAGGAGAGGAGCGTTGTGAGGAGATGGGTCCCAGGGACCGCTGGTCCGTGAGCGGTGGCTCAAGTGGGCTCCCTCCTCAGGGTGGGCGTCTTCAAGGAGTTGCCCACGGGCAAGCTACGGGAACGTTTTACACATGCATGTGAGAAATGTCCCCCGTAGGAAATGTTACATGACGATCGTGAGAAGCGCTTGTCCCGTTCCCACCTCGTGCCGCTCGGGTGCGAATCCTCTGCGAAGGAAACGCAGTTGGTGTGTTGCCTCTTGGTGTGCGTCGCCTCCATCGCTGGAGACAGTGTCTCAGTGAGGGCTCATTGCTGGAATGTGTCTTCCCTAAGCAAAAAAATACCATTTCGCTGCGTTGTCCCAAGAGTATATGACCTCCTGGAGCTTGTGCTGCGTGAACGTGGCCTATGATAAGTCGTTTGAGTTGGAAGTTGTGGCGATGATACTCGGTTCTCCTTTTGCAACAGGGATAACGGAGCGGAATGAGGGCGAGCATTGTCTTTGTGAGGATGGGCTAGCGATGGACGTGTAATGGGTGGAAATAGGTCAGGTGTTCCCCATCCTCCTTAAAAGAAAAAAGTTTGGGACTTCTTTGCGAACAAAATGTGTGCCAAACTGTCTACCCTTATCATTTTAGGGTGTTGTCCACATACAGAAAAAATGTCATGCACATTACCCGTATCTCTCACTTGTGTTGATGCCCCCACCCACAATGAGAAGGGCAGGTTCAGAGTGTGGTCTGTATTCTTTTAGTTCGTGTGTTCATAAAGTTGGTGATGGGCTTCTTCCCTGCCTTCATGCTATGATACACAGAATAAAAAGAGCCATGGAAATGCGGAGGCACGGGTCCATACAACCCGTATGCCTGCTGCAGGGATCACAGGCTATTTGACGTCCTCTTCCTTCACGCTGCTCTGAATACTGGGTCTCTGGCAGAATGAGGGCTTCTAGGTTTTACGTCCATTGTGAAGATCCTGTTGTGATCTTCAGGGAGCTGGCAAGTTACAGCCTCAAGTTACTTTATTTCTGGTGGTGTCTGCAGTTAAAGTTTGACAGCTTTCTAGGAGGAACTGGCACAAAGGAGTCTGCTTACGACTGTTGCTGTAGCGGTAGAAGAGGCTACAGGTGGAGTAGAGAGGGAGGTGGAGTGACACCAACGATAGAAGCAATCGGTCAAAATGGGGGAGACGGGACCCAGGTGACAAGGAGGTGAGGTAGAGAGATTGTAAGTACACTAGGCAGACAAAGGTGATAACGTGGCGTAGCATGACCATGGAAATGAGGATATCGAAGATTAGGAAAGAAACAGTAGAAAAAAAGAGTTCAAGAAGGGAGAAGAAGGAAGACTGGGACCCAGTAGCTGAAAAGGACAGAGGAGGAAAATGGGACAGTGTGGAACAAAGGTGATGATGCAATTAGCTTCTTTCCAGAGGGCAAAACATGTATTTTCAGATGGATGCTAAAAATACTTCAGTGAAAACAGTTGCAGAGAAGCTCCATAACCATAAGCGAAGGATGGGTTTGGGGGCTGCGGAGTGCTGACAGCGGGATGTGAGCCATACTTGGAAAGTCTTGGATTTGTACACTAGGTCACATCATACTGTAAACCTCCTTCTGATAACATATGGGAACTTATTTGGTGGTCGTTCGTGTGAACAAGTTGTATGTTGTCAAAATGTAAATATTTTCTTCCTTTTTTTTTCCTTAAATATAGTTTGTTTCCATAAAATGACATGAAGGTTACAAGTTGTAAACTCAAGTAAGCTTAATTATCTGCATACTTTGCAGTTCCCCAGGGACAGACAATCTGGTGCTGGGGATCGCTGTCTTGGAAAGTTTTGGTTGTATTTGTTAGGAAATGTTCCAATTTCCATGTTAGTGTCCATTTCTAAACTTTCGGTATTACTTGCATGAGATTTTTACATTCTTTGAACTGCAGTTCTAGATCCTGTCAGGAAGCCTTTATTTTTGTTCTAGATGTACAGCAAGAGAAAATAGGGGGGAAAAAACCCACCAGAATTATTGATGATATCTCACACCTTCGGCACTGTTTCCTAGTGGATGAAGAGCCTGAAAAACCCCTTTGTGTCCTTGGTAGCAGTTGTAGCATGCCTCTAGGTACTCCTGGAGACCAAGTCATTCTGGTACACACCGAAGGTTACTGTTTAATTAGGAATGGTGTGTTTCTCATCTGGGGATCTGGTATTCTGTTTGTAGAATTCAAGTGAGTAATGAAATACTCGACAACTGCTGTTGTGTTCTCTCTGGGTTGCTGGATTAGAGATTTCTGCGTGTGGCTGCTCCTTGCGATCCCACAGCTCCTGTAGCAGGATGAGGTCAGCCTATTCCTTAGAACGAGGGGGTGAGATGGGCTCATTTCTGGGGTACCTGCGGGCTGGCGTGGCTTTGATCCACTTCAGGCGAGGTGCTGTGCAGGGGTTAGTTGATTGCTTGTAGTGGGAAGTGGATTTGGTTTGAGTATGCTCTGTCAAACCTCAACTGAGTATTGGCTTTGCGCTGTTTCTTAGCTGTAGCTGGCATGGTTATTTTTGTGTGTATCTATCTCTGTCTCTAATGTGTTACCTACAAATGTGGATAGAGGCTGAGTTCAAAGAAACTGAAAGCAAACGATCAGTCACTTGGAGTTGTAGGTACTGAGTAATATCATGTAGTTTTGTTTTGGTACAGTCTATCCATTTGGCTGTCCCCTTCTTCATTGGTTTTCAGTCAGACTGGACTCTTTAATTATGAATTGTAAAGATTGTATCCGCCGCTTGGGTGTTTATTGATCTGGCAGAATTTAGATAAGTGAAAGTGGAGCAGTCCTTTGTTCACTGTGCATTCACCTGAAAGTCAGACGGTTTAATAACTGCAGGAAAGCAAATGGTTAGGTGGAGATAAATTAACCCATTTAATAAAAAAAATGAAGAGTGCCTTTATCCTAGTCTATTCAAAATACACACACTCAAAAGCAGTGTAGAAAATATTCTGATTTAGGTGATAAACTCTTTTGGAACAGATTTGTTGGGCATAACCCAGATTATCACTACTAAAGATAATTGTCTTGAGTGCGCCCGTCTTAAATACGAGCAGCCACCCTGTAAATAAACTTCAGGTTTGCGTGTCCCCACAGGCTGTACCCTCACTTGAGTTTTGGACCGAGACGCCTGGAGCGCGTCCTGTCGTCCTTTGTACTGCAGCAAGATAAGCTTTGCGGTTATGCCTTTGCAGTGTAAAAGACAAAAAACTTGTCTTTCTTCTTGTACGAGGGGAGGAATTGTGGGAAATTCCTGAAAGATTAGTACCCTGTAAGTAGTGCTAGAACTGCGTCCACATGGCTGGTCGTGCTGTCATGTTAGCGACTGCTGGCTTGCACTCAACCCAAGCTTTATCTTGCAACCATTTCGATGCCAGCCATTTAGAAGTAGAAGGACTAGTGCACTTGAGTAAAGGATGTTTTAAGTGGGGATGAAAATCAGGTTGGTGCAAATCAAAGCTCAAATCAAAGACATTTTTGCATCTGCATGTTTTTGAGTAGTGTCTTGTCTGATGGTTTCTCAGCCTTAAATAGGAACTCTGATTAGGACAGCGATGGAAATAGGGGTGAAGTGGAAATAAAAATAGCAAGATCTTAGGTGGACTTGGATTTCAATGAAGAGTGTGCATGCACAGTCTTATTTATCTCAAAATCTTACATTTAAATTCTTACTCAAAACCAATGGCACACAAAAATGCACCTCGAAGCATTTGTAGTAGTAGAGAGTAATCCTTATCTTCTTATCAGTGGACAGTGTCTTATCACTGGCAGGGAGAACACAGCATGTCTGATCTCAAACGCGCAGACTGACTGACTGTGGACAGAAAACCAAAAACCAGATGTGTAACTAACTCTTTTTCAGAGTTGTTGCTTTTTTTCTAAGTGGCTTGCTCTTCTAGGACCCTTAGCATTTTTCTGCATAGTCTGTCACAACCTAGCAAATATGTTTAGGCTTTTGAAATTGTTTTTAGAAACCTTTTGTGTTCTTTTTAAACCATCAGAACTCTTAAAACAACAAACAGTTGCCCTAATTGTGCTTTGGTTGTGCTGGGGACAGCCCTCAGATCAATAAGCTGATACAGACTTATGCAAAAATAGAAATTAGCCCTGTTGTTTTGGTGGTTGTTGGGTTTTTTTTTTTTCCCTTTGTTTTGTTTAAACAAATTTAAAAAATTAAAAAAAAAGGCAAAAAAAACAACACAGAAAACCCCCCCCCCCCCATCCCCCCCTCCTCGTGCATTTTTAGGTTTCAGATCTGGTAATAACCTTGGAGATAGTTAGGAAAGCACGGAATAAGTCAATACTTCTAAACCAGGGACTGACCAGCGCTCTACTACATTCCTACCTGCAAATGTCAGCTTATCAGGCAAGTATAAGCTGGCTATTACTGCTATTTTTTTAAGTCTGTGTGAACTTCACTGAACACAAGTCTGCCACAAACTGTTATTAGGAAGTGTGAATAGTTACAGGAAGCTGGAAATACAAAGTACTGGAGTGTGAACAGGGAGGGCTGCATTCACAGTACGTGCTTATCACTGAATGCATACACTGAAGCAATCTGGGAAGTAACGCTCTAGATCTTATGGCTCCTCAAAGGATGAGTGTTGAAAGCCTGCAGCTTGAGAGATGGGCTAGTGGGTGTTGTGGGTCGTTTGGCCTCGTCAGTGCGGGCTCTGTGCAGGACTGCGCTGTCCGACTGACTAGTGCACCATAAGAATATTCTCCCTTGTGTTGAAGTGGGACTGGTTTGCTGGGAACCATGGTTTGCTACGTTTACACTTAATAAGTGAGTATTTTTGGATATGGAAAGTGACAGGGAATTCACGTACAGATAACTGCTGTATAGGTGGCATATAAATATTTTGCGGAGTGAAAAGCTTCCTGTACTGTTTTGACATTTTCAGAATTAGTTTTGGTATGGCTAGGCTTGGTATTTCAAAAATCCAAACCCCTTTGAAACAGGAGAGGGATTCAGTAATGCAGAATTGTTCCAACTTGGAAAATGGTTCTTTCAATTTCTTGATTTAAAAAAAAATACGTTAATGCCTATACATTGTTTACATTAGCATATAGCATAATTTTTTGTGGCATGGGAGACAACATTAAAATTAGTAATTATTTTAGAAAATCTCAAGAGTTTGGAGTTTCCCATTATATCAATTTTTCTGACTTTGTAGGCTTATGTGTTGTCTAATATTTTTTATGTTGTGGGCTTTATTTTAAGGAAAAATCTGTTGGAATTCAGTATTTTGTTTTCTATAGATCTATTCTTTCCACAAGAATAAGGTTTCTCTAACTTCCATGAGTAGCTGAAATGTGCGGCCTTCTTGTTACAAAGGGTCTGACCAGTGTCCTCTGGAAAATCTTCCTGCAGCGCATTACAGCATTTCCGCCTAGGTGTTTGCGGGATGTTAACTGCCCTGGTAACAACATGGCAGGAGGGAATGTGTCAGTACAACAGTTAATCGTGCTCATTGTGTAGCATATTAGCACGAGCTAACTGTCACTGGTAGACTATATTAATACAGCAGGCTGTGAACTGGGGCAGCTGGGGAGCAAGCACACGTTCCCTTCTGTTAACCCTGTTACAAGGAGCTGCAGTTTCTGAGAGAGGAGCAAAATAAAAGAGCTGGAGCAATAACATCTTAAATTGCTGCGTCGAGCCTCGTGAGAACCTGCTTGTCAGGGCCCAAGGAGCTATGCTCATTTTCAGAGGATGATGAGGTGGTCCTCTGCATTAACTTTTTCTTTTTGCTGTTTAAAAACTTCATAAATCCTTTTGAAGCACAAGAGACAGGGCTGAAAGGGGTGGTGAGAAGATACCTGGACTATCCCTTCACCTAATGGAATTACCTACATTTAAACTGTTTCTAAAAATTTGTTTTGTGTAATTGTTGTTGCTTTTTTAATATTGTGTCACTTAGTTTCCTCCTTAGAAACTCCTTAAACTAGATTTTGATGAAATCGTGGACTACACGGAGGAGACAATCACAGAGGTTTCTATCTTATAAAGACTCTATAACTTTTTGTAACATTCAGCACATCACTTGGAAATTGGGTGCAAAGTTGTCACCGAAAGCTATGCCCTCTGCGTGCCCAGAGCCAGCCAGCAATTCCCCTAGTGTCCTACATTAGTGAACGCTCACGTGCCAGTGGGCTGTAGAGCAAGTGCAATTTCTTAGCTGCCTCTTTTCTCTACCTTATTGAGAGAGAGTTTGTCTTTTGTAGCAGGGCAATCAAAAATACAAAGCCTCACCAGAAGGGTACATCGGGATATGCTAAAGGCTTGTACTTTCTCAAGCTCCACCTAGTGATGACAGCCAATTTAGATGCCTGTGATAATTTTCTCAGCCATCTCCATCTTGT